ACAATGACGAATCTATGTAAAGTTACATAAAATATCTTTTAAAACTAGTTTGCATATAAAGCAAGGCGCAACTATAATAGCCAACCGGCATTAGCATATCGAAGGCACTTACCTATGGGCTTGTAGAAGGGCGGATTACACTTGCATAGCTTGATGGCCTTGTTCATGCGACACTGCTTCATGCAGGATGAGAAGGTATAGGCATCCGGAAAATAGTTCAACTTGACCTCATCGCTGAAGATGCACTTGCGCTGGCCAATTGAGAGCTGGCGTGCATCATCTGTGGTGTAGGTGTTCTTCTTGGAGATGCGCACTTCGACCAGTTGTTCCTCGGTCCAGTCGATTTGGGCATTGAAATCCGAGCCAAAGTACTCTTCGTTCGAGAAGATAAATATCTGCGTGGCAGCAACCATAGTATCCATGATGCATATATAAGGATTTACTGGCTTACCCGGGAGGTGCTGTTGGGCAGAAAGAAGAGAGCCCACTTCTTGTCCGTTTCGTAGAGATCGTGAGGTGCACCCGTCTTAGAGCTTAAACGCAGAGTTAATGGAATTGTTGAAGGTGTGTTTAATGTGGCTGACTTACTCCTCGGTTGCCGTCGACATGAAGCGACTGTTGAAGGCGTAACAAAATCCATGTTCCGTGTAAATCGGCTGAAAGTGATCACAGCAGACAATATCCTCGTCACGATACTTGCACGATATAAGCGTACTCTCGCATGGGATATGCGCCCGGAAGGCCCAATCCCGTATGCTGCGCTCCGAGAGCAGCTCGGTTGGTATTGCCTCCGCCAGCATTTCGGCATCCCGAATATTATCAAAGTTAAGTGACGTAAGCAGATCCAGAAAGGGGGTAAACAGCTGCGCCTTATCCGCATCATAGTTCCTGTGGTGGTGCAAATGACAATAGGAGCAAGCTGTAGACGACAGTTAACACTCACGCCAGGGACTTGTAGACCTCATTGTAGGATGTTTCATGATCAAAGGCTGCCTCTGGACAGACGACCGTGGTGGGAAAGACCACGTTTTGATTGTGAAAGTCTGTGTCCAGGCCGGTAATGGTCGGATTCGTTTGGAATTTCTCCCACAGGCTCATGATGATGACCAAGGCGGTCACCGCACCAATTGAGGTGAAGCAGAACCACATGAACTTCTCGCCAATGGGTCGACCCGTCTCCGCAATATAACGCACGCCATGCAGTGTGGAGTTTTGGAAGAACTCCTTCGTCTGGTAAATGAGACTGCGCCGAAAGATGACCAGCGTCTCAAGCAGCCGCTGCCGCCTGGTCATCACAACGATTGTCTGCTCTGGTTTCTCTTGCGGCATTTTCGTTTCAGGAACATAGCTCATGGAACAGTCCTGCAACGTGCCACGGAACTTTTGCAACTAATCATTAGGGGCTCAATGCAATCGCCATTGGTCACCGTCCAGCGCCTTCTGTTGTGGCCATTCGGGCCATTGTGGCACTAAAAGCCTTTCATTGTTTATGCATTAGTTACCCCCGACTTTGATTGAGACCCGGGATTGACCCCGTTGATGACAAAAGATAATTAAACGCAAACGCCGGCAAATGCTGGCCAGCGCTTATCTTGATGCCTCATTATCGTATAGCGTAATGTCCTGTTACCTATTACGTCTGGCCTGGGTTTGGTCTGGCCGCATCTGGTCACGGCATAGCTTGGTTGGCAGTCGAGCTGGTCGCGAGCCGGGGTTGTTTTATTTTTTCGAGCACGATACGAACACGCAACAAACTTTTTTCTGTACCTATAATTTATATATTGCCCATCATTTCATATAGAACTTAGTCCAGTTAAAAGAGACCTCAGCATATAAGAAGTCTAGTCGTTGACTAGCTGGCTCTGGACTGGTCCAAGCTTTGGAAACTTGATTAGGCGATCCGTAGTCCAGTCCAGAGTTCTACAGCACGGGTCTGTCGTGCCTCGGGGTTGAGCACGGCCCACGCCCACCTCTAGTTAGAAGGGTGGCTCAACGCCTGCGGCACGTTGGCTGCATTTTGTTGCTCCTTCAAAATGGCGCCAGCCGCTTTGGTCGCGATCGTGGTTAGTGCTTGGAACTGCTATTAGTGAGCCGCTAGAAGCAGCTGCCAGCTAATTGGTCGCTAGTCTGTACAATTTCCGGCGGCGCCGTAGTTTGCCAATCAAAGGCAAAAATAAAATAAAAACGAAAAACAAGTACGGTTTGAATGAATAAACTGAACTCAGCCAAACACTCGCACAGCAACCGGCAAGAAGTTCACAAGTTTTGTGTGAACTTCTGACACGGCGAATGGTACGACGCGACGGCGCTTTGTTTGCCTGGCCAAGTGGCTACAGCCAAAGCTCCGGCTCCAAGCAGAACAAATGAAGTGGTTTCAAGTTTCAAGTTGCCCAGCATCGCAGACAGGCGGCAGACTACCGAACGCTGAACGCCGAACAAAAGGGCTGGCGATCACGAGCTGATGCTGACCCCGATTCCATACACCAGATAAGTGCAACAGCCTGGCTGAAAAGGACCTCCGCATTTGCAATTCTCTGTCATCTTGAGTTTCAAGCTGGCGCCAGAGCGCAGCACTCCTCCTGCTCCTCCCGCTCCACAGTAGCGGTCCCAGTTTGTCCAACATTTTAAGCAATCATGTCCCTGGCGCTGCTGCTTCAACCACATCAATTATGCACTAATACCAATTTGCAATTTCCCAGCTCTATTACAGGTGCTGCAGGTGCTTCACTCGCGCTCTAGGACACTTCGACAAGCATGAACACCAATCTTTGCCTGCGTCTGCAACTGCCGACTGGCAAACGAATGCAATTGCGCGATCGCGACCCACTTAAACAGAATACCGCTACATACTCACATATAGCTATACTCTTGTAATGGGTATTGTCGCTTTGTTACCGACTATTCATTAGTAATACAGAGTATTACTATTATAAATATAGGATATAGTTAGAATTTATCAACCAAACTTGGCCTAGGGCTAAGACAAGACGACACTCACACGGAATACATAAAATATACGGAATCTATATTTTTCTAATGGCTTTTATAAATGTCATACTTCATAACTAGCGGATATTATCCGGCTTTTCTCGAGCATCATGTTTTTCTTAACTTTCCATACATGGGCGAGCACCATCAGAAAATTCAAAGCATATTCATAGCAAATTTTCACATAGTTCGATTTAAGAAAGAAATGAGTTTGCAGCTGATCTGCTGAGCATACTTTCATAGTACAGATGCCCACACATATTCCGAACTTTGTGGCGGACATATCATCTAATGGAAATATAGTTGGTGTGCTTTGCTGTAACACCTAATTCAATATCGAAATAACAAAATTGTACTATCCCATATACGAACTGTAAGCCCAATTTGATTAAAATCGAGCAACTAGTATATCATATGGCTTACAGCTCCAAGTTGACAAATATCAACATATAAGTTAATACTTAGACTCAATATTAATTAATTAAGTTGCTGCATAAAAGTCAGATAAATGTAAAGAGTGCATTGAATAATGAAAACTGATCTTAAGATTTGATCTTTACCCAAGTTGGGCATCTACCAAATATGATTAGATAAACTCAATGGCTGGGGCAAAAGTTATTGATGTTTTGGGACTGTTTCTCCCTCAAAAGTATTGTGCTTCAACTAAAATACCTTGAAGACAAATATGATTTGATCTCTTATCAAAATAGGCACCTAACAAATATGTTTAGATAAATGCCCAACAAATGCAGTCAAAGTTATTTAAGTTTTGGAACTGTGTCTCGTTCAGAAGCTGTCTTCTAATCAAACTACTTTGATGATGTTTTTGCAATAGGATAATAAATAATAGTATATAGGGTATAAAATCTTCGGCAACCCGTTTAGAACAGTTTTTGTATTTTCAAGTAATTTTTTTTGTTTAGTTTCTTTAGTTTTTTATTCAATGACTGAACTGTTTCTTATCAGCGATCGTTTGTCAAACCGTTGCGAGAGCCTGCCTGGCCACGAAGTTCCACGAGTAAAACTAAAAAGAAAAAAAGAGAACACACAAGACGACGTGGAGGGAAGGGCAATTGCAACAATTTGTTGGCTCCAGTGCCGCGTCGGTTGACAAAAATCAACGCCACCGCCATCTGCACGCTTATAAATAAGAAATCCAGAGTCCACGCAACTGAAACCGAATCCCGAGCCATTACCTTAAACCAAGTCCGAAGTCAAAGTCGAACCTGCCAAGTGAAATTCGTTGTAGCCTCGCAAGACGGGGGGCGAAGTTGCGAATACACGGCCAGAAAAAGTCAAGTGTAAGAATTCTACTTTTAAGTTACTTCTGAAGTGCGTAAAGAACTAAAATCAGGCTTTGCTTGATATTTTTTGCCGCCTAATTGAAAGCATAAGAGGAACAATAGATTTAAGATTTAATCACTCTTAAACTAAGCTCAACGATTACTTTCAACTGGAAAAAAGCTAATATCATTTTAAATTAAGCCCAATTTGTTCTTAAAACAATCTCTGTTTGGGCTTAAAACAAGCTTATATTTATATATTAAAAAAAGACGGTTTATAGCTTACGTATAATACTTAATTTAATTCTCTGCAGCTTGATACGCGCTTAAAACATTAAGAATTTGCAATTAACGCATTAAGTGCCCAATTTTTCTCTCTGTGTGCATATGCATACATGTGTGCAGCAAGAACAACATGAAGCTTCGCAGCCCAATTCTCCTTCTGTGAATGTTCTACACGATCCGGCTGAGAAATAAGCCCCTGCGTGTGTGCGTGCGCTTGTATGTGCATGTGTGTGTGTGTGTGTGTGTGTGATTAATGGTAATTGGTTTTATGGCTTACCGCCAGCAATTTGTTGTTGTAATTTCGCTTTTAGTCGGAAAAGCTGCCGCCGAGCAAAGTCTTAGTCACAGCCACCCAAACCCCTCCCCCCACCCGCTACACCGTCCTGCTTAACCCTGAGCTGTATGAAATATTTAACCCCGTTTATAGATATGTGCCCGTTCAGAGTTTATGTATATGCTTATATATTCGATATTCGAAATACACTATTAAAATCGGTGCTCTACTCAACTACACGAAGTTGATGCCCTTTTCAATGGACTTCTTTAAGTCCCTAACCGCCGACTTTAATGCCAGCATTTCCACGTCATTGAGCTCGGGTAGGCCATGGTTCTGCTCGATGCCCTTGGGGCCAAAGCTAAGCGGAGTGGCGAAAAAGCATGCCTCGGTCAAATCGGATTGCACATAGGCACTCTCGATCGGTGCTTTGTCGCCCTTCAGGCCCTTCAGAAGGGCATCTGCAAAACGATGGGTGGCATATGCTATCGAAAGGGTGGCCGACCCTTTGCCCTCTTTGGCCAAAACAATCTCATCGCCGGCCATCTGGATGCGCTGGACAAGAGCGGCTAGGCACTCCTTATTGGCATTTAAGGCGGGCTTGCACTGCGAAAGGATGGGCATTATGGTGAGACCAGAGTGTCCACCGATAACAGGGACTTTTACTTCCTTGGGATTAATGTTCAAATAATCGCCAATAAATCGTTCGGCACGCACACAATCCAATGTTGTGACACCAAACAAACGATTCGGATCATATACCTCATTCCTTTTGAGAACCTCGGCGGCCAAGGGCACCAGCGTATTAATTGGGTTCGTAACGATCGCAATTAGCGCATGCGCCGAGTTTTTGGCAATTGCATTAACCGTTTGGATAATAATGTTAGCATTTATCTCGAACAACTGTTCACGTTTCATGCCCGGTCCACGTCCCATTCCGGCTGTGATGATAACCAGATCGGATCCTTTGACAGCTTTCTCTAGCTGTTCGGGACCCTGCAAGCCTTTCACATCAATCGCTGTGGAAATGTGAGACAAATCGGCACGAACACCATTAATATTAACCACATCGTGCAGAACCAGCTCCGTAATCATCGAGTTATTCATTAGCAGCAGGGACAGCGGCTGACCAATGCCGCCGGCAGCTCCAACAAGGGATACCTTAAAGTTACGCCGCTGATCGATTCAAACCGGAGACATATATTATTATTATTATCATCGAAAGGCCTCTTTCCCATTCTATTAGCTGGCTTACCACTTGCAGGCGGCAGGCTAACGGACTAAGGCCAGCCCAACAGATGTGACGTGATGCTAATAATGAGCTCCTAATTTGGCCACCGAACATGATCAATTTTTAAAATGAACAAAATAAAACAAACTAAAATTTTAAAAATATTGTTAAAAATTTTAAAAACTGTCAACTTATGAAGTTTTTCGACTCTTCCCAGACATTACTTTGTTCTGTTTGTAAATGTATCCGTAAATGAGAAAAATAAATTTGAGCCCAGGAGATAAACAACAGATTTTTGCCTTAAAATACATGCGTTTAGAAGAAATTTTAAAATCCAAAATATTTGATTATTAAACAATTATAATAATTAATTAAAAGTAAGTAAAAGTAAAATTTGAAATTGTTTTATGAATAGTACACTTTTTATAGTTCCTTAGCCGAATAAATAGAATACGTTTCTAATTAACTTCGGTGTATTTTGACCAATCTTAGTGGAAATTGGCATTGAAAATTGTATTTGTATACAAGCCAAAACCATACACCGTCAGGAAATAATTACGTTTTCTTAATTTGAAGGGAAATGGGAGTGGTATCTACGTGGACCCTACATTCCAAATAGATCTATACTCTTATAAGCTTCGAGTTATGGTAAAAATAAGTAATCGAAAAATCTATACTTATCGACACCGAGAAACAATTTGAAATAAGATTGGGTTTCACAAAAAATAGTTCAAATAGTCCGAGTTTCTAGTTCATAGTCTCTAAGATTGACAAACAGTTCAAGTCTCTAAGATTGATGCATTTATACAAGCGGACGGACATACTGATAAAAAACATAGAGACCATAATGGCGGATATGCCTCAATGTTACAAATATTTCATGGCTACAGAGTATACAAATATTATAAAATAGTCTAGTATAATGGGGACCAAAATGAACTCAGAGGACTGCGATTAGAATTTATATGATAAGTTGTTTGCCATTGCAATCACAGTTTAAAAATGCGATGCTTATGATTTAAATACATTGTTTTATTTCACACATGATATAAAAAACTTTTTACTTAAGATTCATTTTCTTTTGCTTTTAAGAAACTCAAAAAAAAAAAGTAATACCTTAATAAATATATATATAATTTTTTTTTTTTTTTTACTTTGTTTTGTTAATTTAACACTTCATAATTGTTTTTTTTAAACAGGCAACATACAAGTTTAATAATAACATAATCATAATAGGCAGTTCAACATGCATCTGCTCGGGTGCTGCTTTTAAACCTTGTTCCAATTATCAGTCGCTCTCGTCCACGGAGAGCGACCGGCTGAGCCGACTACTGATGAAGTCCGGCGAGACTGGCATCGGACTGGCCTCCTGGCGCGTCTCGCGGTATTTGCTGAAAAGGCCGCGCATTTTGTTGAGCGGCGTTTGGAATGACTGCGATACAGCGGCCACAGTAAGTTTCTGATGCACGGTGGCCACAGCAAGAGATGTGAACGACGGAAGGGGGGACGCTGTTTGTTTTGGGGATGAGGTCGTCAATGGCCACGGATTATCTTGTACAACTCCATTTTGACCCGCAACCCGTTGCACACGTGTCGACTTCGGTGGCGTCGTCGGTGTTCCTGAGTGACGACGCAATGCTGCTGCGTTCAGCTTGGGCGTGGCAAATAGCCTTTTTGGATGCACCAGTGGAACGCTATCGGCAAGAATACTGCTGGAAGATTTATTTTGGCCAGCGCCGCTGGCGCTGCTTGGCGTTTTGGGTGTGCTGCCAACGAAGTACGCTGGCTTATGCGTCTTCTGTACGTTCTTCGGTGAGGGGAAGCTATTAACGAATAAGGTATTTGGATAAATTTGGTTTTGATGATCCTGTTAAACGCTGGCAGCTACTCACAGATCCATCTCGGCAGTAGAAAAGTTCTCCATGGCTGTCCGCCAGGCATGTACAAATGGCAATGATTCCTTCTCAGTGTCTACATGAAAAATAGCGTTCAGTACATCCAAATCCCGCTTTGTCGGCTCCTTGCTGCAATTGATTGGGCAACGCATTGAAGGAATTCGTTGAAATAAGATATTAATTCCCAGATTGCAAACAGATTTAAGCAATTATCCTACGCCTTGGTCAAGCACAAATATCCTCCACGGTCAATTCTGCAACTCGGTCGGACAAACAACACTGAACACACACTTTTGGCACGTTTACTTAAGAGCTTGCATATCTCTTACCGAAAGCCGGCTTCCTAACTTTTTGCAAGTCCCACCACAAAAAAAGAAAAAGAAAAAACAAAGCCAAAACCACTTTCTAAAAGCAGTTAATCACCTGCTATAACCTTTAGCATATCTTCAGCAGATTAAATACTCTTGAGGAAATATGGCTTCGAGGTGCCTTTATGCAAAAGCTTTATTTCCAATTGATTGCTTCCATAGGAAAATATTTTGGAATGATAATAAGATCAATTGGTCAGATTTGTTCAGATATGTTGAAAAACGGAAACAGTTTTCAATTTAAAAACCAATCTTCCTATATAGTTATGTACATATGTGTAGGAAGCATGGAAAAATTCGCAAATGCCAAATGTGGTCAAGATATATTGAAAAGCTAAAAAGTATTTCATATAAAAACACATTTTCCGATAGCTTCTGCCTGACAGCTTCTGCCTGAAATAAAAAGACGAACCTATGCAAAAAGCTATAAAACTGAGAGCTATACCGACTCGGCCGTTAATACTGATCAAGAATAAAGGTACAAAGAAGTCCCTTCCTATGTCGTGACCAAATTCTCATACCCTCTACAAGGATACTCAATTAGGATTTTAAATGATATACGTTATGTTGAACGTACAATAATGTTTACTTATTGATCTATGATATGCCCTAGAATTCATTCCCAAACAAGACATGGCTGTACGCAATTTGTAAGCAAATAAATAAATTTATTTTTGATGACGTACCCGAAAATAAATAGTTCGTAACGAGGATCCAAATCACACGACAACCTTGGTGAACGGCTCTCTGGTGGGGTCATGAATATCTCCTCATCTTCGCTGCTGTCGCTACCACCGCCGCAGTCGAACTGCAAGAGAATTGAGAAGTTTGGTTAGCACATATATACATATGTATATGTGTATGGACACTTACAAAGAAGGATTCATCGTCGCTGTCCTCATCGTCATCGTCGCTCTGATTTTCGTTGCTACGCCAGGCGTTAGCTTTGAGAATGGGCGTGACGACCGCAACATTGGAAGCGCCAGAGCTGCGTAAGGTAGCGGCGGCATTGGCCAAGTCTTGGGCCTGTGCCCGCATCGATTCGGTACGCTTGCGCCTACTCGTCTTGCGACTGAGATTTCCATCCCAAAGACAATTGCAGCACTGCTCCAATTCCCAGGCGGCTGAGCACAGTTCCTCGGTCTTGAGTGCGTCCGGCAGGCTAACAGTTGGTGCCTGCTCCAGCATATGCAGCATGCTGGCGCATACACAATATAAATGTTCTCGCCGTTCGCCATTCAGTTGCAACATCTTGCGCATCATTTGCATCAGCTGATTGCGCAGTACGGCGCTAACCTCCTGTGAGTGTGCAATGTAGCTGGCCACAAGATGGGCGATGCGTGAGTGCACTCTACTAAAGTCCACACTAATGAAGCGTGCATCATCCTTAAAGCTCACAATGAGAGATTTCAGTCTTTTGAGCTCGGAGAGCAGCGTATCGTTAATGGATACCATGTTGCCAATGTTATTCATGAGCGTCTTGGTAATGCGTTTCGCAAACACCTGCAGTGACTTCTCTACACATGTGTAGGGCGTCATTACCTGGGTGATGCCTCCACCAGAGGCTGACAAACTGTTGGATTTGCCTCGGTCGGCGACCAAATCGATATACTGATTCATTTGAGAAAAGTTCCATGCTTGATCTGATTTTTCTGCCAGCATCGAGGCCTGCGCCTTCTCGAACTTGGCAGACAGATAACTCTCCAGCCGCGTGAGTCCACTGATAGAGGCCATGTCCACAAAAGCATCGAGAAAATCCCAATATTCGCGCCACTCCAACTGCTCCTGCCGGGCCAGCTGACGACCCACCACCTCAAGGCCTTTTTCAATGTCCGAGTTCTTGATGTGGCGCTCACGGAAACTATCATTTAGGGTCGATACGGACATGTTTATGCTGAACTCCGACGACAAGTCGAACGATGTTTCGTCTAGAAGCGGCGATGAGCTGTTGCTGCGATATTTCAAAAACAAATCCGGCTTCATTTGACGCATGGGCGTTGTGGGCATATCCAGCATGCGCTTGGGCAAACACGATGGGAAATTATTGTTGTGCTCTATGTTATCCAATTCGGAATTGTGGAGCACCACCTCTTGCTGTGACTTGTGATTACCGTTGAGTTCGCTGAGCGATTTATTTGGCGTTGCTGCCCGCGGGCTGAATAGCGTGCGCCGCCCGCTCGACACATGACCTGTGCTCTTGTTGAAAACTGACTTGTTGTGTGTCTTCATGGGCGAGATGTAGGGCGAGCTGGCCAACGGTGACATCACATTGCTGCCAACACGCGGCGGCGTCTTCCAGCGACGAAAGAAACTCAGTGCCTGCTCACGTGGCATCGGGCCAGCCAAAGCGCTGATCTTAAGGTCCACATTTAGCCGATCTGATTCATCTGTCTTGTGCTGCAAAATCTAACAAATTCAAGCATGATTACCAACATGTTCTTAGCTGAAAAAAAAACCCATCTCACTTACCGGCGGATCGTTGGGCGTAAAGGGTTGTCCAATTTGCGGCGGCAGCTCGTTGCCCACAGCGCGTAGAACGGGCACATAGTGTGGCTCTGATAGCAACAGCTCTAACTTCTTAAACAGCTCCGGGCTGGCGTTGGGCGCTCGCTGGCATATTATCTGATTTGGGGAAGAAAAAACCAAGTTGAAACCAAGTAAGAGTGCTCTAGTCGGAAGTTACCGAAACAAAACATTCCAGCTTACTTAAAACTTACATAGTAAACTTAGGTAATTAGTTTTAAGCTCGGAAATATGATTGAAAAACTGGATTTCAGGTTCATACAAACGGGCAGAGGGACGGACGATATCTGACCGTCTCAATCAGTCTGATCTGAGCTACTGATCACTATCCAATCAAGCGGACAGACGGATGTTAGTTATCAATGAGCTGCACTTACATCCTTGGGATACATGCCCTCCGTGTTCTTTAGCGACTTGCATTGCGGATAGGAAATGAGGACTTCAACAACGGCTACGTGACCGTTCTTGGCTGCAAAATGGAGTGGCGTCTCGCCACGACCCTTATCGGGCATGTTTAGATAATAATCGAGCAGATTCACATTTAGGGCGGCGCACATTTCGCCGCTGCTCTTCTTGCCCGCATACAGCTGGGTAAATTCACGATCCGAGATTATCTTCAATATTAATTCGGCGACGCGTGCCTGATTGACCTGGGCGCAAATGTGCATGGCATTGTAGCGATAGCCTTCCTTCAAACTGGTGGGCGTGTCGCCGCTGCTGATCAGAAAACGCGGATTGTCCCAAACAACACGCTTGACCCGCTCATAATTGCCAGCTTCAATTTGTTTGCGAAATTCGACAAGCTCCTGTTTGGTGGGCGCCCGAAACGGCGGACGCTCTGCATTCAATGAATTTGTGCTGCCGCTGCTGCCGCTGCTGCAGCTGGCTGACATGCTGCCAACAGTGACGACACTGATGCTGCTGCTGCAGTTGTTGTTACTGTTGCTGTTGCTGTTGCTGCTCGGCATGGTTAATAACATATTTGACATGGACACAGTGAGTGTTGAACAGGGCGAGCCACTGACGTTGTTGGTGGGCGACGAGGAAAAGAGACTGTCAGTGGTGCCAGAGGTTGCCCTAAAGCCACCGCTCGGCGTCGTAGGTAATTGCACCGGCTCTGCAAAGGCAAATTAAAAGAGAATATATATATTTAATGCATCTTGTTGCTAAATATACATAGGTATGTATATAAGTACTTACTGCTGGCGGGTTTGGCCTTGCCGTAGCGTTTTAACGACTGGATGCTCTCAAAACCAAATTGTACATAACTTTCGGCCTGTTCGCGATTGGGAAACTCGCGCAGACGCGCCTCCTTATAATGGCGCAGCACGTCCAGCGCCTTGGCCTTTTCCTTGAATATCAACCAGAGCGGTGAGTCGGCTGCAAAGGATTGTGATAAATGAACAAATGAGTGAGCAGCTTGGCAAATGTGTGCGAGCGAATAGGACAGACACAACAGACTTGTCAGCAGTTGTCACTCGCTCGCTACTGGGCCGTCTGGTCACGCCATATGTGTGAATGGGGCGATGCCAGACAGCGCAAGAAAAGCGTTGAGCAAAACAAACAATATGCTAAAAGGCAAGAGAAACGACGAGGTCGCGTGCGGACAGCGGACGGCGGACAGTGAACAGTGGGCGGAAAAAGAACATAGCCAACAGTAAAGGGGGAGAACAACAGCAACAGCAGACGTGCGTATGACGCAGTTATTGGCACGCAATTTTTATTCGCTCGCTCGCTCGCTGGCTCTGTCCCTCTCTGAACTGGTGCTGGGCAAACGGATCGAGATGCTCAGAACAGCCGCCTAGGCTAGCCTGGTCGGTTTAAATATGGAAACAACAACACCGTTGCCACCGCGTACTCTTTCTGCTCTGCCCATGTCGGTCAAGTCGGCAGCTCATACTTATTTTAAATAGATATTTAAATAAATATATACAAGTGTACATGGTATACACATATGTGTATAGAATACAATAAATCAAAGCTATTCTGTGGGAACACACTTTATGCATTATCAAACATATAACTACTTTAAAATAAATCTATCACATATCCAGATATGTACTTTACCAAAGCATATTGTGTATGTTAAAAACTTACATGCGAGTCGGATAGATATTTGTTTTGCACAATTTGTTTATATTAGCCTATGTCAATTAACCTCTGACCGATAAAGTAAACTATTTTTTACTGACAAAAAAAAAAACCAGGAGGAAATATTTGTATTTGGACTTGAAGACATTGTTCATATAAACAATTCCAATGTCTATATAATTCAATTTTAACGGACAATTCTTGACAGAGGGGACAGAGTCAAGGGACTTTTTTGGAGAAAATATGAAAAATCCATGCCGGAGACAGGTTGGCTCAGAAGCATAGACGGATTAAAGTCGGACATGGCTCTATGTACTTGGCCTTTCATAGGGCGGTCCTTTAATGTGCACTGCCCATTCGGGGCCAACAACATCCTGTATATACTCTCCAGCTGATTGACAACTTGTAACGTGCATTGGTTGACTTATTTTCTTAAACGTATTCTATTTTTTATATATATTGTTTTTTATTTATGCAATTTGTTTCTATTTTGCGACCAACAAAGCGCATTTTAATTAGATTACGTTATGCCAGAGAGAGGTGCGGCAAAACCCATCCAATTCACGGCTGTAATCGTACGTTACCCGTATTTGTTTAGAACTCGTGCATCGATGACGCTACTAACCCCACGCCCACTGCCCGGTGCCCATTGTGGCCGCAGAATTGATGAGATGGCGATAATGCAGGCGGCATTCAACACTCGATTGCCGACATGAAATTGGATTTAGCCTTGTTTCTAATATGAATTTATGTAAGAGTCTGATCAATTTGATAGCTAACATTCATTTTATCACCTATGTTTTCATGGCCTACGGCGCAGGAGCAAAATGGAGCAGTGGCCCCTTTGATACGCCGACGATTTAATGCCCTTATATGGTGTTTTATATAGACGAAATCATTCCGACTTAATAAGGTTCTGCAATTGTGTTGGGAGAAACGTGAGGCTCGACAGAAACTGAGAGAGCGAAGATTGATCAAGATTTCTTGAAAATCAAACGATTTTCTCATTCAAGAACTCATTTTTTAATCCAATTTTCGGATAACGCTATATGATATTGTAAGCCGATATTAATAGGTTTCTGCTCACTAGGCTTGCTTAAACAAAGTTTAGTGAGGATAGCCTGAGAAACAAATGAATGTGTGAAGCATTTTAAAATAAAAAGCCAAAATGTTTATGACAAAATCTTTAAAATAAAGAACTATATCGAACCGGCTGTTTATACAGATCAAGATACATACAGTATGCACATACGTATATGCTCTATGGGGTCAGATACCTCTCTGCTATGCGCTGCACATTTCGTGACAATTAATAATACTCTTTACTCTTTACATAGGTACAAAATCAACAAGTCGAAGCAATTGTTTTTGGCCTGGCAACTAGTCAATACTCTTTCAGATTATCCAAAAAGTAGCTACTTTCAAAGCTAAACACTTATAATAACAATAAATATAATAGCAAAGTGTTTAGCTTTTCATAAACAAGTCTTTCATACACCACAAACGATAAGAGAGCAACAAGTAGGCGAATTATCTTTGGTTTGCCGAAAATTGAGTATGTTTGAATGCAATGCAATATGGGCGGAACTTTTAAAATGCAAATGAATAATGTGTAATATTGATTTTAATTTGTATAAGCACTGCTTTATTCAAGATCCAAGATATTTTCGACTTGCAATAAATCTTCGATGGATTCTCTCTCAACTCAGCTCGCCTTCTTCAATGAGTTACATATTTCTTGACAACTTGTGATACAATATGTATGTAAGTGTATAACAAACGGTAACTGCGATGCGCAACAAATGGCACTTCCTTGAAAAACGCGCGCTTTGATTACGTTATGGCATGAAACAACAAGCATGTGTTGAGTTTGTTGTTTCATGCCATAACAAAATCAAAGCGCGCCTTTTTCGAGGAAGCGTACATGCATGCGTGTATGTGTGTGCGTGTGCACATATTCGCAGGGCATGCTTGTATATACATGTATGTACGCATGTATATACGTATTCCGTTGTACAAATATGGCGACGCCTTACTCACACGCTACTTACGTGGATATTCGGGATCCTCATATTTGGATGCTTCCTCCGCCGCGCTGGCCGGATATTCTGGCGAAATCTTTATATTGTCTGCCGCTATGGAGCCCGCACATTGGGCCAAGGTGCCCTCAAAGCCTGCCTTAGACGGCGGTATATAGACGCCAAAGTAAGCCATGGATGCAGGAATACTAGCAAAACACACAAAAAAAAAGGAAGTTCTCAAATTGAATACACTGCATTGCAAATGTACATGTATGTATGTAGCTGAGCAAGACTCTGCGAATCGCAAACAAAATGACGTCGAACGCGCGACGGACCACGACGCCAATGGAGTTTAAGTGCTAGCACTGGCGTCTCACCTTTAACGAAACACTACGGGATACTCCTGACCTAATTTCACATTTAATTTTTAGTTTTTATTTTATTTATTTCACTATACACAGGGAATTTACATATAACTGCAGCGAATGAATGTGCTTATGTTTGCGTTCGAAATGCGATGCAGTGTCGTGTAGAGATGGCAAAAGGGAACGATATCAAAATATCGTATGCATGGTCAACGATGTAATCGATAAGAAAACAGATATTTTCCCATTCAATAGTGTGTTTCGATATATTGACAACCTAAAATAAATATATCATCGATTACAATGCTGCGCAACATTTTGTAACCGCGCCGACAATGCGTTATCGGCCATTTTTAAATTCTTTTATTCAAATACTTACGCATAAATATTCGAATACGAGTATCTTACGGATATACATATAAGATTGTATGATTATTACATTTTATTATTTCCAACGGATTGTCTACATTAAAAAGAAAAAATTTGTATTGTTTGTAATAGTGCGTAGAGTAAGAACTTAACAAAGTTAGGTACAGCTGCTTCAATGTTTGCAATTTTAGCCAATAAGCCGATGGCAACAGTTATTTGAAATGTTCGTTATATATTTACCATTCTAACGTTTAATAATGGGCATATTAGTTTAAGCTCGTGTCTTAACAAATTCGACGAGCAAAATTCGACAAAAAGTCTAGTGGCAGTAAACAGTCAATATTGTGTTAGAATCTTTAGTGGTATTATTTAATTTATTTTGTAATACAATAATTTCATATAAAGTTGCACTATATGCTAAACTGGAAGGAATGATTGCGTTTAATTGTTGGACAGACACAGATCTAATCATTTTATAAATATTAAATATTAATCACGAAAAAACGAACGAAACGAAATTATCTGACAAAATACTCAACAATATTAAAAATATAATTGCATAAATAGTAAAACATATATATAAGCTAAGTTGCTACAAAAACGAGTCACATAGAAAAATTCAAATAAAACTGAGTTCAATAGAATGGAATATATGGAAAGCTGCATACATAAATTCAGATACACCTATATATGTACGTATGTAGTTTTGTTGGTAGAACTGAATCGTGCTAAACCATCGCATTGCAGATAGTATCAACATTTAAATCTAGCAAATAAATTTGCGACCTTAAAATAGACTAAACATAATTTTGGTAGTTGGCTTAAACTAGTTGCTCGCTTGGTTGCATACAAGCCCTTTGAGCTGCACGAATGCCTATCAATTAGTAAATACATACAACTGGCCCCACTGAGGGGCCCCCACTTAAATGCTAAACTGCGCACTCTGGCGCCTACTTAATAATTATGATGTGTTTGTTTGTTGTTTCTGTGTGTGTTGTCTGTTGGGCTGGGCAAAAGGTTAGTTGTTGTGGGATGGGGTGTGCTACTCAATATAGTATATGGAAGGAATACTGAACATATGGTTAAATAACAGGGGGCTAGTTGGAATGCATCCGCAACAGACGTCAGAAATTAAAGCTTTGTATGTTTGACAGTGTCCGTCCAATAGTTCTGTATTGTCATCGCCTCCAGTGAGTTGAGAAACGAGTCATTGTCCAGGCTATACATCTCATCCGAGTTATCCTATAACCAAAACATAGACAACATTAATACAACTAGTTAATGCGGTTGTGCCCACAGTCAACTGGCCAACGAATCCTTACACTTACACGCATCGTGCTATCGTCAATGTAAACGCTCGAGTCGGGCTCGCTTAGCGCCTGCGGCTTATTCAGATACCGCCGTCGATACAGCACAATGCCAATGGTGCCCACAGTACAGCAAATACCAAAGACCGTAAAGCATATGGCTGAGATGGCGCCGGCATCCAGAAAATAGGTGCGCTATATTAAAAAACCATTAGATATTTGTATATATATATAACGGAACATTTAACAAACGCTGCTCACTTGAATTGCCAGCGCCTCGGAGGAAACGTTGCTCTCATCGGCTTCGTAGCCCGAAACACTGGGTGCTGCCGATGCGGAGCGTGTGAGCAGGCTCTTGGTGTCGCTGGAGAAATTGATGTAGCGATTAATGTGCTTATATTCAGCGGATAGCACTTTCGATTTGCGTGAACGATGTTCGCTTTCCGCACGACGCAACTCATCCTCCTTGTTGGCATTTTCCAAGGTAAAGGGCACACGCTGCAGCTCATCGGACAGCCATTCGGTGTTGATTTTTGGCGTTGAAGGCGTGGCGGGTGCTGCTGGACCTGTGCTATTTGTTGACGGACTCATTGTTGTTGTTGGTGTTCTTAATGATGTCGTTGTTATTATTGTTGTTGTTGTTGCGGGTGTTGCTGTTGTAGTGTTAACTTCCTGGCTACTGGTCTTGGCGGCAGCTGCTAGGCACGTGGAATTGCATACGCTGCTGCTGCTGCTGCTGTTGTTGTTGTTGGTATTTGTACTGCAAGGTGTGCTCAATTAGTAAAAGTAATTGAAGAGTGAGTCATGTGAAACGCTTACCTTGTGCTACGACTAAAATTCGTATAGTTGTTCAGCTGCTCGGACGGTACAATGGCAGCTCCCGCAAAGTCCGCCGAGCGCTTAAACTCGAACTGATTGTGAGAGAGTGTTAGCTTTATAGTTGCCTCGTCATTCTCATTGTCATCATCAATGTTTTCATTCTCGTTGCCGTCGTCGTCATCGACAGCGACATCATCATCATCATCATCATCGATGGCATCAGAGAAAGGAGCTTCGACCTCATCGTCAACACTCTCCTGCTGGATAACATCTGTATACGCGGCTGTTGTTCTTGACTCTGCCGTCGTCTTAATGGTCAAGTCCATGATATTCCGCTGCGTGACCGTCGCCCATGTTTGGCTGGACGTAGTCTGATACAGCTTCGTTGTTTGCCGACGGCCGTTAGTCTCATGGCCCGCTGCTTCCGTCTGTTCCACTAGACGCTCCTCCTGCTGTGTAGTTGATTCTGGGCTAATCTCATGGCTGGGGTATGTGTGCACATGCGTGATGGGCACCAGCAGCACTGCAAGAAGAAGAGTTTTAGTGGGATTATTTTCAAATTTAGCTCTCTCGATACTCACCACTTAGAGAGGTTATCCAGAACCAATGCGACCACCAGTAGAAAGTCATGATGCGGCACGTGATGTTCTGATCTCGGGCCGACTATGCGGCGCTGTAACATAAGGAAAGGAAATGCCAATATGTGAGCTCATGTGTTGACAAGCGCGCGATCGCATTAAGTATCGATTTAAGTACATCCCAAAGCACTCGTTGCTCATCCGCCGTGTGAGTCAGAAGCAGAGGCAACAACAAATACAACAACAACAACAACAAGTCAGAGAGTGAGGAGCGATATACTTGTAGCAGCTACAATGAAGTCATCGAGTCATTGAACAGTCGTGGAAGCGCTTTACATTCTGCCTAAAACAAGTTTCACTGGGCACTTCAGAGTGCGGAACATGACCAGGCCAGATCTGGCCAGGCCAGGCCGGGCCAGGCATTGCCAATTTTGGGGCCACTTTGCGATGCGCCGAAGGTCGACGACTCGTGCTGGCAGATGACACATAACCAAATGTCTGCTCTTCCCGTTCTAAATACAAGTATGTCGTGCCACCCACACCCATGCCCATGCCCACGCCCACGCCCACACTCACGCCCACGCTTAACGAGTTGTGAGCCCACAAATTGAAGTCACAAATAGCCGCCATTCGGACTCAATTGTTGTAGTTGCTTGTGCCCCAAAATTAGCATGCCATCTTTTGTTGTGCCAGAATCCAAACATCTTTCCATAAATTATTTTCGTTACGCTTTTTGGCTTCGATCAACTGTTTGCTTACTTAGTTGTATATACCCTGTAACCATGGTTTTCATGGCGGCAAGTTCGTACTAAAGTAAATAAAACAAACATTTATTGTTAAAAATATTTCAGCGTTTGCTCGAAAATGTTCAGTAGTTAAGTTATTTAGTTTTGTAATTTTTTGTGAACAATTTTATATGAATATTTTTTTATTTACTTGTTTTTTCTTTTTTATTGATTTCCAATATACATTTTTTTTACGCTCCTTAGTTTGAATTCTATATCCGATCTCAGTTTTATTTTCTTAAGCAAATATAGAGTATACAATAGTTGTATTCTATTATAACGCAACATCAGTAAGCATTGGTGTTTGTATTTTTTTCAATATAGGGCATTCCATAGTCTGGTCGACTCATTTATTGCGTTCTAACTTAATTTTGTGTGTGCTTGCGCTAAAAACGATGTGCGTAGTCCCATTTATTTTGGGGTTAGTTTCTACACAAACCAGGCCCGTTGAAAAATTGCTCTAATTTTGTGTCTGATAAGATAGTATAGAACTAATGTAACATAAACTTATGCATGTGCGTGTGTGTGGGTGTGTGTGTGTGTGTGTGTGTGTGTGCTTGTATTGATCTGGCACTGTGACCCACATCGCCCTTATTATTGGCCCGGGCCCAGTCGATGGCTCAGCCTTTGACGTCACAGGGCACGTGTCATGTTGCGGGCTTGACATGTGTGTACTACTGTTTGGGCCACATTGCGATATGGCATATATTACGTATACGCAGCGCGGTACATTAACCATTAAGCATTACGGGCGACACTTTATGCATAGCACGAGGCGTTAAAGGTCAGCCCGCTGTCATCAAATTCTACAGCAATTGAAACAAAGTCGTAAAGAATAATAAAAACAATTGTTGCCCAAAAACTATGAAGTATGTGTGTTTTTTGTGTGTCTGTGCATCTGTGCAAGCAAACAAAGCATAACAATACAAAGACCGCACACCGTAACGAATGACACCAAACGTGCACAGAGTTGGATGAGAAACTCTGGCGGAAAGGTGAAGCCGCACCAGAAGCGCAAAAGCGGAACGCGCATGAGCAACGCCCCTAGAAAAACAAGCAGCTGGCGCAGCAATAGAAGAAGGCCTTATGTAAATTCGATGCGTTTCTTTCCCCATCATCATCATCATCATCATGTGTGTATAATTAGACAAAACAGACGCGATGGCATCCGGAGTTAGCTCAAGTTTCCCGAGTTCTTCCGCTGTATGGGTCTCCGTAGACACAGAACGTAGACAATACCGTCTACGGAATTATAAGCGCATTTTATAATGGCCATAAAGTATCGCACAAGCTAACTGATTTTACGTTCATTCGTATAAACATAACTAGCTGCTCCCAGCTGATCTCAGCGTTGCCCGTTCCAAGTTTTTTGATTCAATTAATCTATTAAATCTGTTTAAGACTTAGCGTGCACCTAAAGTCAAAATTTCAGCTTTCCAGCTTATACGGCTTGGGCTGTGCGTTGATTAGTTAGTTAATCAGTCAATCAGTCAGTCAGTCAATTAGTCAGTTAATCAATCAGTCAGTCAGCCAATTAGTCAGTCAGTCAGTCAGTCAATCAGTCATGTCTGCAAGCTCAACAATCTAGCCAGTTTGGTTAGTATACATATAATATATATTACATGTAATTAAATATTTTGTTGATATCTCTGGCCCCATAAATTGTGCACCTATTATCAGACCATCAGCATTATTGCGTCAACTTGGCTGTAATCGCCTCGTGGAGTCAACAAATTTGATATATTGACTCTCAAACAATATAGGAAATTGATCAAAATCGATTTGCAACTTCCCAACCTTTTTAGGTAAAACAATACTAGTATGCATGCAAAGTTTAGCTACAGTTATATTTCTGAATGTCATTAAGGCACGTTATAAGAGTTTCTTATCCATTGTAGTAATTACTGTTATTACATACATATATAGTATATAGTTACAATAGAATAAAAAAGCCGCTGGCCTATTCGGGACGCTGTCAAGCAGCCTAACCTGACCCATGGAAATTTTATCTGAGGCTGAGAGCACTATCTAGTCTATCTATATGTCAAGCATATTATTAGAATTATAATAATTATAGTTATATCCCGGCCTTTAAAAGTGAAGCCTTGCCACTAGTATGTTTTGGCTTATTATAAAAGATTTTTTATCCCGGAGGGGGTAACATATCGCGTTCCTCAATTGTTGAGAGCTGCGTCTGCAGCGTGCAGGAAATTTACATAGAAGTTTCCTGTTCCTCTTCAAAGAAGTTGCATTGATTCGACCTTCGATAGTTTCAGTTCCTACAGGTTATATCTAAGGATACATTTTCCGATGAGAATGCCTGTTAGAATTCACACATCGTCCATTTGGGTAATCCATACTATCGAAAATAAGGAACATATTGAAACCTTTGTCAAGAATATAAAAGCGGATGTTGCCCACTAATTGCTGCATAAATAACCAATTCTTATCAGAATATTAAGATGTGTTGAACTAGTCATGATACAAATTAAGTTAAGAGTCTAACTAATATACATTTTAATTTGTAGTTCAACAAAAGAAAAAAAACGCTTAAAGCATATTGAAATAAATAATTCATGCAATTACGCAAAGCTGACCAATTGTTAACACAGGTGTGTGTGTGTGTGTGCTTGGCGCGGCCTATTATAGGGCCTAATGAGAGACTACTGACACCTAAGATTGAACTCAAGGCTGAGCACAGGTCAGTCCGAGCAGCTAAGCTCAGTGGAAGCCATTTCAAAATCGCATTGGGGCGCTGAGGGGGTGCTCTGGGAGCTGGGCTCAAGCAAAAAGCAAAAGCGATATAGCTGAAACAGATGCACTTTCATATGCGAAAGCAAAGTACAGCTCAAAACTGGCACAAGTGCAGTTCAGTCCGGGTGTGTGTGTGTGTGTGTGTGTGTGTGTGTGTGTGTGTATGTCTGGAACTGCAATTAAGAAAAGGGGCAAAAAAAAAAAAAACAAGTGCAACCTTCAAGAAACAACAAAGCAAATTGAAAAGGCGGCTGGCCAAATGGCAACAATTAAATGCTGGTTGGAATACATATTATGCAAATGCCAAAACAAGACATTGTGCGATGGGCGTGGCACAGCACACACACACACAAACACATGCGAACACAAACAGACACACTTGCACACCAATAGTGCAATGTCGTGTCTGCCAGCCACAACAAACAATGGGAAAGTTCACGCTCACTTTCTAATGTCAGCACCGCGGCACGCGATGTCACTCGCTGCAAAAGATTTGCGTTGCCACAGGAGAGGGGCTAAACTACTTACCTGAGCGGTGCATGCCAAAAGGTGCGAGTTGCGAGCAGGTACATGTATGTAGTACCATGGCACTCGCAACTCTAGGGCACAAGCCCGGGGACAAGGGCTAGATAGAGTGCTCTAGCTGGTTATGGATTTATTTCAATTCAATTTGTTTAATTATGTGCTGGAAGTCGAACCTACCCCCTGATCCTTGCCAAGCGAAAGACTATGAAAGTAGGGTATATTCACGCAGCTATAGTTATGCTATGCAGCTTATATGGTATTGACAATGAAGGGTTCTTACAGCGATGGGGTATTGATAATGAAAAGGATCGAGGACACTGCCTTACACTGTAGGCGGCTTAAATGCTACGCTTCGTTCGTAGTTGACAAGGTGACAGTTACCTTTGGAGACGCCTCTCTGTAATGGGGTCAGCCAAGAACCTGTTGAGGAAATTGATCTGAACTCTGAGCTTTGTAAGGCGGAGATCGCGTTCGGGTTTGGGTATATAACTTTTATCTAGTGCCGAGATGCTGTCACAAGCATTCGAATTATCTTCAATAGAAATACACGCACAGCCCCATTCTGCTATGCTTCTTCTTAACTCCCGAATAAGCGCTAGACTTACAGTCTGGTCTTTGTGAAATTTTCAGGACTTAAATTTTGCAGTCAAATATGTAATACATCAATTTTGGGTAGAACTTAAACGCAATAGGACAACATTGACATTACAAGTCACTTGATAAATGCATATTAAACGTACGGCTGTAACTTTCATTTGGGGAGATTCGACAAATAGACGGATAAGACTAGGAATATTTATATATACCATGGAGATGCTTCCATTTACAGCATGTATATAGAATATATGTATAAACACGTTTGATCTAACAACTCACAATACAACTATGTTGAAAATAATCCAAATGTTAGCTAAATTCTAAAGTCTATAAAAATGTGGCCTTTTAAATAATACAATTCTTGATGTTGAGTTTTGAAATATGTTGAAAAGGAAAATAAATGAAATGAATAAATTCAATGGCAGCTATTTTGTGTAAGAGTCGAGCGTCTAGCTCGTCAACTCGTCGTGCCAAATTTCTGTAATTTCTACACACTTTTAAAGGTAAATAGGGTATGCGAAAGTCGTAAACACTTATGGTCATATGCCGGCTGGTCGAAGCAGGCTGCGACGAGTGTCCAGTTTAGGCCGAGGCACATATTATATTGTATAAATTAATATATATTCAACAACAACAGACACAAGTAAACACGTGTAACTGACAATTCACAAAAATCTAAAAACTTTTTTTATTGGCTTTCGTGGTATTTGTCGCTGCAGTAGAAAGAAGGTAAATTTTTTGATGGAACTTGTTCAACAGTCAACGGCGCCGGCCGCTTCGAGCAGCGGCGGCGGCGGCGGCAAAAATGAGAAGAATTCACAATACCGCCAATTGCGTCAGCTTATAATCAAGCTATCGATGGGCGATCAGATTGTGCTCTATCGGAGCCATCAGGAGGTGCAGCAGGTCTGCGATAGCATCTGGCGGAGCACACATAAACGCTTGGACTTTCGACAGCTGGAGCAGGAGTTAAGCGGCGAACCATTGGGATATTTTCTAAACAATATGATGGATCATTTTCGTTATGTGTATTTCACAGCGGATCGCCTCCAGGAGAACCTAAATGTGCTGGAGCGTGCCGGCATCAAATCACTCAACAATGTACAGCACTGTGAGCTGCTCTTGTCCCAGGAGCCGGTGCCAAAGCAGAAGACGAAGCGACAACGTGAGGCGGGCGCTGGCGATGCTGGACTTGGACGGGTTGTTGGCATTGCTGCAGTTCTTGGCGGCTCAATGATGCCGCAATGGCCGTTGCATGCCTTGCCCAAAATGCTGCGCAATTTGCGCCGCCTCAAGGTGCACTGCGAGGTGCAGGTACATTTTATCGAACAGTTCCCACAGCTCGAGCTTCTGGTGCTAAATGGTGATGTTGCGCAATCGGCCCTCACGGGCATTTTAGAGCGCTGCAAACAGCTGAAACGGCTGTTCATCAAATGCAAGAAGGCGCCACCAAATCTGCACGGCATCTCCACCTGCCACCGTTTACAGGATATCTCGCTGCCGATGACACTATTCTTGCAGGCACGCGATCAGGTCTTGGCGCTGCCGGCATTGCATCTGCTGGAGCTAACCGTCGGCGGTCAGAAACCCGAAATGGCCATCGAGTGTTTGCGCTATGTGCTGGAGTTAAAGGCAAACATCATTGAGATTGTGCAAATGAACTGCGCCTGCTTTGAGGGACCATATTGGATGCGCGAGGCGGGTCTCGGACTTTGCGGCCGGCTGCAGGGCCTGGTGTTGAACAACTGCTATTTTCACGATCGCGAGATAAATGAACTGAACATGCCACGAGTAGAAAACTATTTGGTATTGAGCGGCTGTCCGGATCTCAAGGAATATCAGCTGCTTGATATGATCAAGAAATGCCCGACCCTTTCGGAGCTCTATTTAATCGACTGTCCGCTGCTTACTGGCAAAGTGCTGCATGGCATCTATCGCATACGATGCAGCGAGAAACTCGATTATCCCATCAGCATTATCCTTAGCCGCTGCGATACCATAAGCAAAGATTATCAGGACACGGTCGGTACTGAACATGTTAATAATTGACCAATAATACATATTTTAATACCCTTATAGAGGTTTCCATATAGTCATGTCCGTCTTTCTGTACCTATAGAAACCAGTATCTCAGCTTCTATTGTCACGAAATGTCGTAATTGACCGGATCGAACCACTATATCATATAACTGTCATAGGAATTATGAGTCAAAAGATATCTAGATTATGAGCACCACGAGCATGATCTATCCTTTCTCTATGAAGAGAAAAATCGTTTGAAAAACTAGATAAACTTTAAAAAGTCTGTCAGGTATTCAAGATATCTTGCCTACGCTCAGCATTTACAAGCTATATTATATGAATCCTATAGGATTAATATGTCGTATATATCTATCTATAAGGGTATTAAATCTTTCCTGTTATTTTATAATGCTTATTTCTATTATTTTTTTTTTTCGTTTTCAGTATGCAGATTATTGGTATTTTAAGCTTCCAGTTCTTAAGCTGGATCGCTTGCTAGAAGAGAATCGACCAATTGAAGATATGCAGTTATTCTTTTACAAGAGCCTCAGTACTGAATGAATTACTTTATTTATTTACTATTTGCATGGCATAACGCCCCCCGATTAGAGATAATATGTTCCGCAAAAATATTCAAAAGTCAACAAAAAAAAAATATATATATATGATTAGTGCGTCTTTATTGAAGGTAGCGCATCCTTCATGGAGTCCTCATTGATAATCGGGCTACGGTTAATTGGCCACAATTATTTCTGTTAATCGTTTCTGACGATAGTCATCTCCCTTCTTTGAAATGTGCAGATTTTCTGTTTAAATAAAGTAGTATACAAAAACACAATGTCGTACGTTATTCGCAGGCCAGAACAATGTGCCCGGTATCGGCTCAACCAATTGGCGGCTCTCTCAACGAAAGCAAACAAATTCCACATCAATGCCAAGTAATTGTTTTTTAGAGTATCTTGTGTTTGCATTCGGTTCGCGTGTCTTCGCCACCAAGATGAACAATAACAATTAACTCGTTTTATTATTTTGCGCACAACTTGCTTTTCGCATTTCCCAGCCAGATTTCTACATTTGTGGTGTGAGCGGAACTGCGGGTGTGTTGTCTGTAGCTGCAGGCGGCAAATCTGGGTATGTGATTTGACATTTCACTTACTTAACAAACAACTCGATTTTACTGCATGCAAATCGGAAAGTTTTGGGCCAGAGAACACAGCGAAATTTATGTGGCCGGATTTCACTTAACAGCGTAAAACGAAATGGCCGACGCTGGAAACACTGGCAAGGATTACACTGCCTGCAACTCCATGCTGCACCTGGCCATATCAATAATGGGCAAATGTGGTTTCTTTTATGAAAAATAACGTTTAAGTCAAGCGACTCTATGTGTGCCGGGATAAGTAACCCATAGCTCCAAGTCCAGCTTCTATCTGTAGACCCTTGCCGAAACAGTGCGATTTTAAATGCTTATAATACTTATTAACGCCGATTATTCCTGTGCAAGCTTCAGCATAAGATGCTAAGCAAGAGAATGCTTTAGTTGAAAGTTTCCGATAAGCAGATAACATGTACTTAGTTTTGAGCTGCCTTATGAAACATTCCAACATCTTCCCGAGACCCACACGAAAGCATTCTTGAATAACCTCGGTGCTTATAGTCCGATATGTTTTTTTACATTTTCAGTGCTTTAATATGGAATATTAAATGCGAGTATGATGCGCCGGAAATTCATTGCCGTGACGGGCAGAAGAGAACAAAAAGAGAAAGGTAATGTTCCGGATCTCTATATCCAACTTTTCTAATTTCCAATATTATGCAATATTATCCAATATTATACGAGCCAAGCAATTTATCACAATCGATACTTATCAATATTGTGAAAACAAGTGTATTAATATATATAGAGAACATATTCATATAAGATTTTAAGCCTGTTGCTCGTAAGGTTTTCAAGACCGACGTGTTCCAATAGATGGATATGGCCCTGATCAAGAATATATACGATATTCATACTTGATGCATTCTCTTACAAAACTATTATACAATTTTCCTAAATTTGTTATAGTTTTATTTGTATTGTAGTTTTTGTAGTTGTTACAAGCGTAATTGGACTGAAATTGGTGAAGATATGAAAGACATAAATTACGCATGCAAGAATTGAATTTCGACCAATATTTCCATTGTCGTCCCCCTGGCAACGACACTACTTAGCTTTCTTTGAGCGATTTTGTGTATTGCCAGGTATTCATCAGCATTTGTGCCAGAAATTTATCTTGTCTGTGTGCGCGTTGTGTTCGTAATATTTGGTAACATTAGAAAACGAAATTTTGCGCCAAACAAATGATACTGACAATAGATTTGCGAGCTGTCTTTTTTGTTCGGTGCGTACTTCTTTCACTTTTTTATTTGCTTTGTGCTGGCACTTTTCTTTATTATTTGCGAAAGTGAAATTATTTGGTTATAACTGAAAATGTTTTTCAATTAAAGGAACACAACACGACTGCGACAGGTGACTGCAATAATTAAGAAATGGTTCGTGGTTCATTTCCCGTGATTGTTTTGAAGCAGCTTTTAGATAGATGCTCCACAAATTATGGGGGAGACTGCAGCTGATATTTATTCGAGTACCGACTTTTATTTTAGTTTTGTTAATACTTATCTCAGAATTTATTCATTTTATTTGTGCTCGTTTCATCAATTTATAAGGAGTTCGTTTTATTCTATATTTTGTCATTAATATATCTATTTGCTGGAGCCAAATTTGTGTATATTCTATTTTCTATTTTATGTTCATTTTGGGAATCATTTGCAAAGCATGTTCATTTTGTATGGGGTTCATTTTGGTCCTTATTTTGTCGGTTTTAATGTGTATATTAGAACAATATGTCTGCTCTATGTATATTCAATAATATATTGTGTGATCTGTCAAATCTGTTTGATGTAGATCGATTTTTAAATATTCTATTTTTATTATATGTTCATTTTGGTATAAATTTACAACCGATGTTCCTTTTGAAAAGTGTAAAATTAAATGTTGGTCCTTATTTTATTATTTTTAATGTATTTACTTAACGAATGTGGGTTCTGGAATATCTCATTGATGGAGATAATTATTTTTTTCAAAATATATTTAATATTTAGTGTTCATTTTTAGATTCATTTGCAGCTGGAGTTCATTTTGTTAATTGTTCATGTTGGTCCTTATTTTATTGGTAATATTGTATATAGTTAATTATTATTTTTTATTATTAGTTATAATTTTTTTTAATTCGTTCTTTATATTGGATGTTCTTTTGGGTTCAGTTGCATTTAGATGTCAGGCTTATAGCAATTCTGTCTTCACCAATTCGATGCATAGCTAGCTATAACCGGGATCTATGACGATCTGTCAATTCTGGATGTTCATCTATTAACATTAATCCTAGAGTTCACTTGTTTCCAATGGCTGCTGGCCCTTCTTCAGTTTACTCCACTCGGAAAACACCATCGGCTGATAATTCCCATTTTGATCAAGTGCCATTATTGTGGAACCGACATTGATGTAGTTGTTAGCTTTTGCTTGTTTTACCGGGTTGCGCTTTTTGCGCACCGTCTGCCCACGGGGCACCTCGACTATATACGGCGGAGCGCATGGCATCGACATGGGCACAGACTTGGGGCTGCCGAAAAGTGGCGGATCAATGTAGTGAAATCTCATGGTGCCATAAGGCAGCGGTATTGGGGCTGGCACGAGACGAAGCCCGGCATTATGTAGCTTTTCGTGCTCTTCATACAGATCCTCCACGATGGGCAGCAGGGCATCGGCCAGCGGTACATTCTCCTGCATAATGGCCGCCTGCAGGCGCAGCTGCTGATGTGTGGTGAGCATATACGTTGGCGATATTTCCGCATCCATGACCAATCTGCCCGGCTCCTGGGACTGGCCCTCATCGACTTCTAGCTGCATCAAGCTGTAGCTCTGAAAGGCCACATTCAATGAGCTGCGCTTCAAGGGTGCAGCCCGAGCACAGCTCAACGGAACCACCTCAATGCTGTCCATGTTGTTTGGGTTAACGTTGTTGTTGTTGTCCTTGGGTATGACCTGTATGGTCGTGCTGGGCCCCATGCAGGGAGCGGGTGGATGATGCTCGGGAAATCTAAAGAAATCCATGGCATTCATCAGGGACGGCATGTCTGGAGTACTATTTCTGATGTTGGGCAACACGCCTGCCGGCAATTCCATGGTCACATGCGTGACTCCCGGTATGGCACGCACATCGACCAGCTCCCTGGGCTGTGGCACGGTTAGGCCAGTGTACATCATCTCAATGGTGGTGCCGTGCTTATGGACACGATTACTGAGCGCGTACCACTGATTTGCGGCGCCCGGCAGTGGTCCTTTCTTGGGAGGATAGGAGCACAAATGATAAAATGGATATCGTTTGTTACTGCTATTTCCACTGGCTGCTTACCTGACGCCGTTTTTTGGTTTCATTTTTTACATTTTGTTGTTGTTGCTGCTGTTGTTGTTGTGGCAGTGGTTGACTCTGGTCCTGGCGAAGTGACTGCTGTTGCGGCTGCTTGCATTTTGACAGCGGCACCGAACTGTTTCTGGTTTGCTTTTGGTAACGACTCCATGGAACTTCGGGCACCTCAGCGATTGTCGGCAGAGACGGCACTGCCACATTTCTTATAGTATTTCCATTGTTATTCTGCTTTCTCTGCTGCAGATTCATATTCAGAGCTGATGGACGAGTGTGCTCGTTGTTCTGGTTCCTATTAACTCCACTTGGGCTGGCTGGCTTCTTGCCACTGCGAATCTTGCCGGCGGTTAACATGCTAGCTGCGCTTCTTTTTTTCTTCTCACTTTTACAAAATAGCTTAATTTATTTGCCTTGAAGTTTTGAAAAGTTTGAGCTGTCAACACGAGATGAGCGCAAAGAGGCTCACATTTGACAGCTCATTCCAATGGCAAAGCCTACTGCAATTAATTGCGTGCTCGACGAATTAACAGCTCCAAAACTAAGTTAACAGCGAACTGAAAATTGCCCAATCATCGAATCGCTAAAACCTGAGTCCATTTCAGGCTACACTTCTCACAGTTAACTGCGTCTAGTAGAAACTCCCCTTAGATAGCAAGGTTTCTTGTAAACTTTATATATAATATATACCCATACATTTTATAAAAAGGATCAAGCGAAGCTATTTTCCAGCTTGTATAGCAAGGCAAAACATATTCCATTTCAACTTTCCCATTAATAAGCAGTAGAAATATTCATGTTTATGAGCAGGAATATGTGTTCGTGTACAGATTTAACCTGATTTAAGGGCATTTTCTAGTCGTTCACACTGCTGGGCGAGTTGTTGATTTGTTTCCGAAGTTGTGAGAATCTTAATTTTTCATACTTTTATGCAATTGCAGTCGTTGCCGTTTTTTGCATTGCCTGAAACTGACTGCGGCTGGCAACAATGGCAAAGGTCTGAATGGGCGTCGACTCATTTCGCAATTGAACTTATGGGTATTCAGCGGCGGCTTTTCCTACTGTTATTGTTATGGGTATGATTGTGGGTCTGACTATTGTCTTGCGTTTGAGGATTTGCAACTTGCGGATGTGCCACAGCCCCAAACAAATTCGTAACATGTTTATGTACTCACAGATTCGCTCCTGCGTTGCCACCGGCCGGAACTATAGATGTTGTGCTGCCTTTTCTTTTTTAAGATGCTGCAAATTGGGCTTCCGGCTTCGTTTTCACAACTGAAAGGACACAGAAAGATGTTTGCATAAGTCAAAATATACATATATATACAATGCTTGGGTTATGAAACGATTTAGATCTTTTCCTCGATATCGACTTGGACACACTCGGCTAAGCCGGCACTCGAGTGAAGCAGCACGGCATGGTGTTTAAGACTTAGCCGCGATTCCAAATAGAATAATTAAGTGTATTATTTTTGCTACTTTTTGGGTAATTCTGAACTAGTGCGTGGCGTACTTGGCCAGCTGTAGCTTATCATTGCCAACGCTCATTGTTTGAAATGTTCAACTTCAATTAAAAAAAAAAAAAAAACTCTAGCTCTGACTGCAGTGTACATAACGCATAACGTTCGTCGTATGCTTAATTATGCATACGCAACATTGGCTGGCAGTCTACAAAATTATACCCTACAGCATTTAAAAAGATGGGATGTTGTTACTAATGGGCAACAGACGCAACTATAAGAGAGTTAACCAATTAAAATGAACTCAAAGCGCGTAATAAAATGATGTAACGGCCAGAAGAGATATCTTCGACTTTATAAAATATAGGTTAATATAATTAAATATTAAATGAAAACTTTCAATCGAAGCTCTATGGGATTTGGGTAAGGAAACAGAGCTACAAAGCGGTTTAGAACCGAACTACACCTTTTTTTTTAACCTTTACCAAACCTTTAACCAAACTTGTCTAAGCCAAAACTTTAACCAAGCAATTGCCAAAGTAATATAAAACGTTTCAGAACTGCCCAGACCCAGTCCATAAATATCTTGGGATCTAGATGTCATTTGTATGCAGAGATCAAATTTAGCGCGCAGCTCGCATATAAAAATGGGAATGAAATGCAATATGTTTAGTAGTATACTAATAAAGAATAAAAAATGTAATTATTCTTTTTTTAATATATTGAGAGTATATGAACATAGCAAGGTTTCAATCAATGCAAGTGCCTAACCAGTTGCACGAGCTGAACCCAAAGGCAAACCTGGTCGAAAATGTAGTTACTTTACAAGTCTCAAATGCTAACTAACATTTCGTTGAAATGTTTAAATCAAATTATATTTAGCTTCCACAGCACCAAACGTTGTAAAGTCTTCGTCAATTATATTGCTGGAATTATTTTCAGTGTATCTGGTCGATTGTTTTTGCCATCTGATTGCCAAAGCGGTAGATCAATGAAATTGCATCAGCTGCCAGGTGCTAATACGGCATATGCATATTCGTGCAATTTAAATACAAACGTTTAACTGGTTTACTTTTATGGGCCTGAGCTGATTTACATGCCAAGCTGTCGATTGTGGCGTTTCAGCTGATGCTGGAAGCTAAAATTAGGCGGTAATTGGGCGGATGCATCAATGGAGAGTCAAAATCTAAAACGCAATTCAAAAATGGGCTGGGCAATAACGTTGCGGTGAGAACTCGACGGCCGCGCCCAAAAAAATACAAAAAAAAATAAATAAAACTGACTGAAATGGTGTATATGTGTGCGTATATTCAAATGTATTTAAACAAATCTTATTTACCTATATGGCAAAAGTCGAATCACATTTTTGGGCAGCTCAAATCGTTGGGAAAGTAAACATGCACCGCGACAACCACAATGACTCAAGTTGACCAATTTTGGTGGCGCTTGTCACTAACAGCGCCACAACATGCAAAACTAAATGCCGCACAGTGATGAGCAGAAGTCTAGGTGCAGTTTTTATAAGAAATTTCATAAGCTTAACCAAAGAGTGGGAAATGGAAAAACTTCGTTTGTGGACTAAATATAAAGAGTTTTCATTCAATCCAAATTTAACATAGAAGAACTTCAAGGTAACATATTGAAAAGTTCTTAAATAATTAATAATCAAGTCACATGAATGACCTTCAATGATTGAATTTTATTGAAAATTATTAAAAAACTGGCCGGCCACAGGCGAATGTTGGTCACTTTTTATACAAATAATAAACAACTAGATATAAAGACAAATGTTGTCTGTGTCGCTTTTTCACGAAGAGTAGACTTTACTCTACAATAGTTGACAAATTGAACCCCTTTACAAGCTTTAATGTGTTGGGAATTTCATGCGCAAACGAAAAAATCGAAAAAAAGCAAAACACACAGAACATGTGTGTTAATTTGTATTTTCTGGTGCTTTAGCATCTATCCCATTTAAACTAAACAAAACGTTAAAACATATTTGTTTTTTCTATACAACAAAGTAATACCATATCATTTTTTGTAAATTGTCTAAAATAGGTTACAACTCCCATAAAATCTAGTCCAATAATAGACCTAGAAAATGGTTCTAATATGCAGTGCCACATAAACCACTTCATTAATCGCACTTCGTCGTACCAAAAGCACTCAAACACAGCGCTGTATGTATATTTCTGTCCAACACTATAGCTTGCTGAGACGCTCATAAATACAGATGAGTGTGCGTGTGTGTGTGTGTGTGTGAGTGGGGTGCGTGCTTAGAATTAAAAGACAGTCTACACCCGCAACGTCAGCGTCGACATTCAACGAGGTCGCCTAAGTGACGGCAGTTGATTAAACCGACTAACTGACACACTTTTCCAACGGAATTGATAAGCCCAGCAGGTAAGCTACATATATATCAGGGAAAATCGGGGAATTGTGTTAGGCATCGAAAGCATTTGCACATTTGCAGCACGTTCAACGGCCTGCAGCCAGCACTTTGTGGCTACTTAGAGAAACGGCAAACGCCCGAACATCAGTCAAGTTGATTGCGGCGACTGGCAAATGGAGTCATTAAGCGTCTCGAATGTCATTACCACTTAATTGTTTTGTATCGTTCGTTGTTGGCAAATGATTTGCAGAGTTTGCGTTCGTTCAACTTCCAGCAACAACAGCGGCCCGAACATCATTTTCAGTTGGCTGTTTACATTTTGCAGGCCACACGCTAATGAAGCCTGCGCATCCGAATTGCAAATATCCGAACAGGCAAATTCCAAGACAAACTGCCAACACGAAATGAAGAAAAGCATAAAGCTGAAAATGTTCAACTAAGTATGTGCAAATGATAATGATGATGATGATGATGATGACCGAAGAGCATTTGGATTTGAATTTGGAATTGGACAACGACAACGACTTCCACATTTTGCTAATCACATTTGCCAAAAAATTTTAATAACGCTAATTAAGTGCTTAAGAGCTTAAGCTCAGGCACAAGCAATCCCATAAATAGACATACAGCAGCAAGTTATGCAATTTGCTTATTATTGCATTTGCAATCCAACAACTCACAGCACGCCCCAGCCTGAACGAGCGCTGGCCAGAACATTGCAGTCGAGTGTGAACGACTATCAAATACCCAGACCCTAAATGCATCTACTTGTGTTTGTGTTGTCCGAAGGAAAAGTGAATTGAGCTTCGAAAAGTGTTGTACAGCACTGTGTGCAATCATTACTATGTACATTAAATGTATATTAAAACGGAAATGACATCAAGTGTTTTTTCTATCTATGTAATTGTCATTTCTGGTGTTTGAAAAGTTTGGGAATTATCTGCTAAACGCTTAAATTGTTAGTGAATTCAATTTGCACACGTATTGATTAACACTGTGTTCTGTCTGTACTAATGAAATGTATTTTGCAGCACTTCAAATTAAAACATAAATTTTATAGTTTAATTTTTTTCGTTTTCAATTTTCTTCATTTTCCTCATGTCATTTCTGTTGTAAGGAAAGTTACGGAAATGTCAAAATTATCTGTCTAAATTGTTAGCGAATTTAATTTACAAAAGCGTTGTACAACACTGTGCGCTGATATGTTAATGTGATTTGCAACACTTCAAATAAAAACAGAAATGTCATCAAATCTTTTTTTTTAAGAGTGATGTAAAGAAAGTTTCGGAAATGTCAAAATTATCTGCGTCGTCTTAATTGTCTGCGAATTCAATTCACAAAAGCTGTGTACAACAAAGTGTGCTCTCTCTACTAAAGACTATTGTATGTAAATGTGTTTTGCAACACTCAAACTCAAAACGGAAATGGAGTCAAGCAAATTTTTTTAAGAATGCCCAATTCTTGTGTCGCGAAGATGTCAAAAATTTCTGCGTAATGTCAAAAAGTTTGTGAACTTCCGCTAGTGTTGCATAATTTGCAATCACTGCTCAACACTTTTATTTTTTTAAATCTTTTTGTGTACTTCAATTTAAGCAGAGATGTGAGCAAGATGTTGAATTTTCCGAATTAACGCCTAAATGTACTTATTATGTTGGCTTCTAAAAATGTTGAAATCGTAGAATTTGTTAAATTGCACAAAAAACATCTAAAGCTAGGTTTAAACACCATAAATATTACTGTAACCAACAAATCATGGCTAGTCCTATTTTTCAAGGACGCATACTAGGATATTATGGTAAAAAGTAAAAAGAAATACACGTGTATCTAATATGCATGCCTACTGACTAGGTGTGATCTTATATAGTGTAGCTTCCTTGTACCGCTACGCAGTGTATAGTTCGGCTGTCGTTATTACATGACCTGGCGCTCAGATTGCGCATACATCACGTAGAGCTACAGAACAAAGCCATTGGCGTCATAGTCAGCAGTAAGCTGTGAGCTGTGAGCTGTGAGCAGTGAGCAGTAAGCAGTCAGCAGTCAGCAGTCAGCAGTTAGCAGTCGCCAGCTAGCTAAATATGAGATTGAAGGTTAGCCAGCTCGCCATGGCTGGCAGTGACACATGATACTAAGACTGTAGCTGAAGCTGTCGCTCTTTAGCCAGTTCGGCTGAGGGCAGACACTGGCGCCAGCAGCATATCATGAGAATCAAGTCAATTCTCAAGGTGGCTGGCATCAACATGAACTGCACTCTCTCTCGGCTGCAACAATCATTGGCTCGATGAGAGACCATTGACTTGGCATGGAAACTACATAGTTTGCTATTGATTTGCACGCAAGCCAAATGGCAATTTAAGATATCATGGAACTGGTCACGTTATGCAAACGCCAACAGCTAATTGGCTACGCTGGCCCATTCAGTCGGA